ATAAATTGCCAAGAAGAGTCGTATTGTGTGTAGTTTGGAAGATGGAAAATGTTGTAGCTAACGGAAGGTACACAAGTCGATACCCGATCAGTATCGGCTGGGTCACCGTGGAGAGGGGGGTACGATGCTGAAAGACCCGAAACCCCTAATAAACCTCCGCTAGAAACATCACTGATGATGTATACTAAAGCATCCAATAGAGGTATTTTACGAAAGAACTCTTTTCTGTGTTTCAAACGATATTTTAATAAGCTCAAGCATCGGTATCACAATGGTAAAGCAAACGATGGAGAATGAAATCACTAACAAAGGCTTATGAAACTGATTTTCTGGCGATGAGACTTGAAATTACTATGACTTATCAAAATATTTTCGTTTTAATTTACATTATCTTTAAAGTTCTTTACTTTAAAGTTTATTTGAAGTACATGTCTAAAGACTATTTAAGATTCTACCACTACTATGATAACTATAGTACCACTATAGCACTGTAGTAGTACTCTAGTTATTATTATTGAGTGAAAGTGTTCCACGCCAATAAAGTAATTCTATTCAAAACCCGATATACCCATCATGGCGCCCAGTCTTATAAGAATCAACTAGGCACATGTACCAGAGCCAAAAGTGTGCGATATGGTGACGGGTTTTGATAAGGTGAAGCCTAGTTAGAAATACCTTCAGGTTTAAGTAATACAGTCCGCTAACACTATCTCCAATTGAGAACATTTCCAAGTATCTAGACGTGGTTTCAAATACCATCCTTCAAACTTAAAGAACAACTTTCTCGCTACCTAGCCATTACTCTCGCCCATGAACAGAGATGTAGTGTGCATCAGCCCATAACAGACATGCCTAACTTTATTATTATTATTATTTTATTTAGGACGACTTATTGAAATACAAGCCTCCACTGTGAAAACCACTCTACAACAAGACCTAAGGTCAGAAATGGCATCATGACATTTTCCACTGAGCAATTAAAAAAATTATTTTATATAGATAAAGCCCTTCGTATGGTGCGGGTTGTACTTGTGAGAACAATTTTTTGTATTTCTTTAAGGCATGGACTACCAGAAATCACTTCAATGAGTCTATTTGAGAAGATACTCATTTTAAATGATTTATTTCGTCTACAGTTCTGCGTAGTCGAGAAAGCTTAATAAAGAAAATGTACCCTCTGGCAGGATTCGAACCTGGGTCCCTCTTTGCAGGAAAGAAACCACCGTCTTGTCCGGTGTGATCTTACCGCTCAGCTATGACGAAATTCACAAAGCCGAACGGTAAAAGCACGCCAGATTTAAGTGGTTTCTCCTGAAAAGGTTCGAATCCTGCCGAAGGGTATATTATCTTAATTAAGTTTTCTCGACGCTCATAAAGAAGACCGTGGCGATTAAACAATATACGTGAAATGAAGAGAAAAAGTGGCGTCACCTGAACATTTTTCAATTATCCAAACTAAACATATTCTAATATTTCATCTCAGGCAAACGTTTTCAGTCTTTAGAAAACCGTACTCCATATATGATAACAATACTGATAAAATCAATTCAGTTAATTCTTGTTTAATTTAGTTACGCTTTTAACCAAAAGCAACCTTACAAATACATTTACTTTAAAGAAGATTCGAGAGATAGCACCAGGTAAATGCGAGGTCAGGTTGAAAATAGACAAAAATTGCTGCATTTTTTTTCACCAAAAAGTAACTGGGTAAAACTTTGAACAAAGCGTTTGAAAATGTTATTTTATGATATAAATGTGAAATTTATTTCAGAAAATGTTCTTTCTCTCCATTTCTTTTAAATTACTGGTATGATGATAAACTACATCCGGCAGCAAGGCCTCTGATCAGCAGATTGGAAGTTTTGAGGAGCATTTAATTGTCGTTGTTCCTAGTTCCACTCTGGCTCGGGGTGGTAACACCCGTTCGGGCTCCAGCTATGGGCAAATAGTGAACCCCCAGCAATACATTTTTATATTAAAAAATTAGCAACAATACATATTTGTTGTGAAATTAGCAACAATACATATTTGTTGTGAAATTAGCAACAATACATATTTGTGGTGAAATTAGCAACAATACATATTTGTAGTGAAATTAGCAACAATACATATTTTTGGTGAAATTAGCAACAATACCTATTTATAGCAAAGTTACCAAAAATATATTTTATCTATAGTTGAAGGCATACAATTGCGTTCAAAATATTTCGATTTCAGTATTAAATAACCCATAAAGGTTTTGATATGCCGCTTAACAAATTCAACCAACCAAACCAAAATATAACTTCAACAAAACTACAACATAAAACACACATATCACTGCCTCTTGTAATTGCGACCACACAAATGCACAAAAGCTGAGTATTATCTGCCATGTATCCAATTGTGAAAGCAGAACAGCATATATATTTTATTACTTTTAAGCTTCCAAGAAAATTACATTTCGGCATCAAATGACCCATAAGGTGTTGATATGCTGTTAAACAAACAAATCCAAATC